GGTTACAGGTGAAAGTAAAAGTTTGGGAAGCATCAACCTTGGGGACAATTTTTAGATTTTCAATCATGAATGATTCAATTAGACCTGTTTTAAGTCCCCAATTTTCCTGCATGGTATAAATGATTAATAATGATTGAAAAATTACTAAGCTATGGTATGTTATAAATTTAAGTTAGACTGTTCTAGCATGTCTTAAGCTATTTTCTAAACTTGATTACAAAAGTTAATTGCAGCTCCTCAGTTATTACTAATCCCATTTTCTCTTGTCTTTCTTTGCATTTTTTAGCTCTGTCAAAAAGCTGGTGATTATCTCCCAGTCGCAAAGGCAGTAAGCAGCTTTGATGTAAACAGTGATGGTACCATAAATATAACATATGTTCAAGTTACATCTACAGCAGGTGGTAAAACCTACACAAGGTAACTGGTCATAACTGATAATTTACTTAAATTTGGAAACTTGATGTTATTTATCTATGACACCATAAATATAACATATGTTCAAGTTAAATCTACAGTAGGTGGTACAACCTACACAAGGTAACTGGTCATAACTGATAGTTTACTTTAATTTGGAAACTGGATGTTATTTATCCATGATAGCATTTACAAAGACCTTCATGTGGCTTTAGACTATGCATGCTACATGATTGCTCATAAAAGATAAATTGAAATATTATAATTTACATACTGAGATTTTCTCTGAAAAGGTGCCCAATGAGGTGCCTGAAGAAGTTGAGAGCCATGAATCAAATGATGTGTATTAATGCCTTTCTCACATGTGGGAGAAACATTTCATTTGTCCAGTTATGATCGATTTATAATAGTAAGTTCCATTTAGTGACAAGAATAATGATAAGAAGAATTTGAAGAAAAAAAGGTACTAAATGAGGGACTAACATACGGACTCGAAGTCCCAGTGAGATCAGATTTATTAGCCTTTGACCTGTATCTGTTTAAGAATAGATTGCCATGAAACAAGAATGGAATCTCTGTATGTTAATAGAACACCATTTAAAGTCTGTCTGTATGGTATTTACTCATTCTTCTAATAGTATTTGTATCAGAAGTGTTACTCGTCCTTCATGCTCACCCAGTCAAAATTAAATACTACCTACTTGTGCTTATCATTTAAAAATACCATATGGGCAGACTTTTCATGAAGCCACTGGAGCACAAAACAAAGGAACTAATCTTGCCAAATGTTACCTCGTGTTGCTTCAGCTCCAAAAAAGTAATTTTTTTGGAAAAAAAAATTAATACATCTTCTAGTGATTCAAGGTATTAACCTCAGCTGTCATTATCAGAGACTCACACGGCTGCTATGATCAAGTTCAGACTATTATTTGGTTTGCAATGCTAAGATGAAAATTCAGTCCAAAAGTACTTCTCCTCTTTAGTGCTCTTCAGTGTTTTGAGGTAGGAAGGAACTGGCGTTATGAATTGATTTATTTCCTCTCAGACAAGCAATCATTAAGTTGAAGTGTGATGAATCTCAGCGCGGAAAGTTTGAGTTATTTCATGAGCAGGAAGTTCCTGGAGAACAAAAGTCAAATTATGTAAGTACAGGTGTAGTTAGAGTAAAATGCCTTTGCATCTACTGCCAATTGAAAAAGATAGTCATAATCAAAGGATTGAAGTCACATGATGCTCATTTTCTGATATGGAGCAGCCACGACTACTTTCAGCTTCTTTTCTGGGGCATATTTTTCTTTTGGTGGTTTTTTTTTGCAATGTTTATCCCTGACCTCCTCTTATAGTCCCTTTACTTAAGTTCAGTTACAGCTGTATGTAGCTGTCCATTTAGTTTAACCCTTTGACCCTTAAGAGAGACGAGGGTCTAATTTCTCCTTACAATGCCTCACCTGAACCAAACATTAAGGTCACGAGAGTAAAGGAAACGATCACCAATTAAAGAGGCTCTTGATTATTAAACAAATTCTCCTTGTCAGTACCTAAGGAAACATATAGAAAACAGTATGGAGAACGTGCATACTGATGCTAGAGTGTGAAGAGTTCATGATAAATTGTATAAACTGTTCTGGTGTCCTTTCTCCACAGACATCAACGTTTACTTCCAAATATGCATGTCCCAAAAGTGGAGGACTAAGTACTGGCAGTATTCTCCTTATTGTGTGAGTAAAACGCAAGCCTCCGTAACTCAACCTAGGCTTGATGACCTAGATCTATTTTAATGCATTGATACAATGAATAAAGGGGGTAAGTTTCTAAAGAATCTGTGGTGGTGTGACGGTGGGAGCTAGTGTGTAACAAGATGAACTGGTTTTATCAACTGAGTTGATATTGTTAATGGGCCACCATACAGAGCATAGATTGACTGTTGTCTGTTATCTATCAGTGTACTATACATGTGCGAAGCTGAATTATACACGCATTTGACTGATTGGTTATTTCAAATGATGAGGGCAGCCCCATAGATGATGTGAAATACATTCCATGGTACACTCCATGGGCCATTACATTTCATGTAATAGATCACAAAAGGCGCTGAAATGTTGTAAAAACATCAGTGACGCACTTGGCTGTGCTACGTGTCACTTTTTTATTTTTACCATATTTTGAGGTAATTGTGATTTCTCTCTGAACAAACGCACAGCAACAATAAATCTATTCGTCAAACAACCCTGTCTCCTTGCGGTTCACGGTTTTTCGTCAGCGTGCGTTCATCGAGATATGAAGCACGCGGGAAGTTTGGAGAGCACGAAAGATGCGTAAGAGTTGCTCGAGGCGTAGCCTCGAGCAACTCTAGCTTCTTGAGTGCTCTCCAAACTTTCCTATCTCGATGAACGCACAGCTGACGTATAAACCAATTGTTTGTAACATTTTCAACGCTGTAGTTTATGTATAAAGGACAGGAATGCCCCCTCTCCTACGCTTCAATGCGTTGTTATGTTGTTTCAGAAAAGTATTTCGCCATGCCTCAATGATCTTGTCTCAGATTGGTCAAAAACTGACAGGTGAATTTAAACGTGGAAATGAAGTTAGAGTTCCGAAACGAGATGAAACCGTTGATTGTTTTGTTTTCCCTTTCTCTGGGTTCTTTCTCGGGAGTTAAAAAATCCATTCCCAAAGAAAAAGTAGGCAGATCTTCATTGGTTTGTTCGCTTGTTGCCAGGTCTAGTTTATCTTNATCTTGTCAACACAGAAACTGTGACTTTAGAGTACTGTATGTTAGTCAAGCTTGAATTCATAAATAAAATAGGTATAAAATAGGACAGGTTATTACACTTCACACCTAGTTGCTGTTTAAAATATTGTGGGTCTGGGATACTTTGAAGAAAACAGAATTAAAATAGACTATTTAATACCTTTTTTTGCAATGGATTAGAATCCACCTCAAAAAATAGAAATAAAACAGTCTATTCTATATCTATTTTGCAATTATTCAACATTTTCTTCAATAAAATAGGGTTGTGATAGCCTATTTTTTCATATTTTTCAAAGGAAATGGCTTTAGCATGTTCTATCAGCAAAAAACAGAAATAAAACAGACTATTTGATCAATATTTTACTGATGTAGAAAATAAAATATGATTAAAATAGTCTGTTTAGCTGGTTTATTTTTCCATTCATTTTAAGAAAGTAGAAATAAAATACACCACATTGTTCAACCTTGCCTTGAAATATGGTTAAAATAGTGGCTCTATTTTACCTTTCAGGTAAAATAAGAATAAAATATAAGTCTGAGAAAATAAAATTGTATAAAAATAGAGGTGATAGCATTAAAATAGACATTAAATAGAAATAAAATAGGTTTGTTTTCGTATTTTTGTAGATTTTCAATAATTAATATTTCAGGTCCACAATTTTCCTGAACCAAAAGTTTGACTAAGTGTCTGCATGATATGAATAATTTAGCAATGATTGAGAAACCAGACTGTAGTATAAATGTTATAAGTTTAAGTTAAACTGTCCAGTTCCATGTCTTAATTAAGCTATGTTATTAACCTGATTACAAATATTGCAGCTCCACAGTGCATGATTACTAATCCTGTTTTCTCTTGTCTTTCTTTACATTTATTAGGTCTGCCAGCAAACTGGTTCAGTTTATGTCCCAATTGCAGATGAAGTGAGCAGCTTTGATGTAAATGGGGATGGCACCATAAGTATAATATACCATTCAGTTACAGGAAGTGAAGGCAAGATAAGGTAACTGCAGGTTATACTGATAGTTTGATATAGAGTTTGCTATAATTTATACAATAAATAGTCATGTTGCTCCCACCAACAAAAATCAGATTTAAGAAATATTGTGACATCTGAATCTGGGTTAACATTCGCATTCATAGCATTTACAAAAACCTTCATGTGGCTTAGACCATGCATGCTACATGATTGCTCATAAAAGATAAATTGCTTCATACTTTATCATACTAAGATTTTCTGTGAAAAAGTGCAAAAGAAATTTTCACTCACCAGCTGTTCAAAGAAGTTGAGAACCAATCAGAATGTGAATGTGGGGGAAAATTTTTTTTCCATCCAGCCATTATTGATTTATAAACCTTTGACTTGAATCTGTTTAAGAATGAATTCCCATATTGAAACAAGAATTCAATCTCTGCATTTATATACTAAACATAACACACCATGTAATTAGTCTGCCACATGGTATTTATGCATTCTTTGGTTTGTCTCAGAAATATCACTAATCTTTTATGTTCACTTGTTTGATATACAATACTACCAACTCATGCTTATTTTTTTAAAATATCATATGCACAGACTTTCCTGCGAGCTATGAAAGAACTGGGATGGTCAGCACAAATTAAAGGAACAAATCTTGCCAAATTTTTCCTTGTGTTGCTTCATTTGAAAAAATGTAATTTTTTGAAAAAAAAAAAGAACATCTTTTATCGATTCAGGGCATGGGTATGCCCCCAAGCTGGCAGAGAGACACTCACGAAGCTGCTATGATCACGTTCAGACTATCATTTGGTTTGTAATGCTTAGATGAAAATTCAGCCTGAAACACTTCTTTTTAGTGCTCTTCAGGAGATTAGGGTGAGAAGGATGGTAATGAATTGATTTACTTCCTCTTAGACGAGCGATCATTAAGTTGAAGTGTGACCCATCTCAACCTGATCGTGGAACGCTTGATCCGTTTACTGAGAAGTCAAATCCAGCTGCAGAAAATAAGATAAATTATGTAAGTACCAGGTGCAGTTAGAGTAAATGTTTATGTCTGTACTGCCAATTAAAAAAGATAGTCATAATCAAAGGATTGGAATCACACGATGCTCATTTTCTGATCTGGAGCAGCAATTACTATTTTCAGCTTTTTTTTTTTGGTGCATATTTTTTCTTTTGGTGGTTTTGTTTAGTAATGCTTTTCTCTTACCTCCTCGTATAGTCCCTTCACTTATACAGTTACAGCTGTATTTAGATGTCCGTTAGCATCTAATTTCTCCTTACAATATCACCCCTGAATCACACATTAAGGTCACGAGAATAGAGGAAACGATCACCGACTAAAGAAGCTCTTGATTGTTAAACAAATTCTCCTTGTCAGCACCTTAGGAAATGTATAGAGAACAGTATGGAGAATATGCAGACTGATACTAGAGTGTGAGGAGTTAATAATGTACAGAGCTGTTCTGGTTTCCTTTTTTTTCACAGACATCAACGTTTACTTCCAAATATGCATGTCCCGAAAGTGAAGGACTAAGTGCAGGCAGTATTCTTCTTATTGTGTGCGTAGAGTGTAAGCCTTCGTAACTCAACCTAAGTTTGATGGCTTAGATCTATTTAAATGCATCAGCTGATCTATTTAAATGGATCTATACAATGAATAATGGGGTTAAGTTTCTAAAGAAACTGCGGTGATGTGTTGGTGGGAGTGTGTAACAAGATAATAGGACAATCACATGACTTTTGTCGAGCATATAGTTTATTTGTGGCCCGAGTAGCATCATTTGTGCCAGAGCAGAGCGAGGCTGCAAATGATGCTACGAGGGACACAGATAAACTATATACCTGACAAAAGTCATGTGGTTATCATTATTATCCAAACGCAAGGCCAAATCGTACAAATTCTTTAATAAAATATATACCAGGACGGGAAATTCTATTTACCGCCCGCACTTTGCCGTTTTGGCCTGCGAAAAGGAGCGTTTTAGAGAGGGCAGTTTGTCATTTGGCCGCGTGTAGTGGTAATAATTTGTTTTTTATCAACTGAGTTGATATTAATAATGGCGGGCCACCGTAAAGAGTTTCATAGCACCAAATTATCTTTTGCTCAATTGTGATTGATCGCTGTCTGTTATCTATTAGTTTATATACATGTAAGAAGCTGAATTATACATTCTGATTAGTTCTTACAAATGATCAACTGGAGGGCAGCCGCATAGATGACATCATCATAAAGAACCCTTTGATTTTTTCATGATATAAACATATACATTCCATGTTGCATTCCATGGACCAGTACAATCCATGAAGTAGATCACGGAAGACGCTAAAATGTTTGAAGAAGATCAGTGACACACTTGAAATGAAAATAAAAAAAAATTATTCAGTTGCTATGTAAGAGCACGAAATATAAACCTAGTTTCTAGCGACTTGTAAAATTTGTGGAAGAGTCGACTACTTCGAGTTAACTTTAGGTCCTCTTCACAATTTCTGCTAGTTCATTGAGTGAAAGAACAGGTTGCATTTTCCTTTTCCTTTTTGCTCTTGAGGCACAAAAAAGGCCAAAGTGTAAGAACAACTTACAGTGATACACATGACTCTGGCTTGTGTGAAACCTTTGTAAGGCTCCTCGGTTTTTCAGAAAAGAGTAAAAAACACGGGCGCGTAAATATGGTGTGTGTCTCGTCGCGAAGCCGTTCCCATGACAACCAAAAGCGCTGTCTGTCATTCTTTTTACTCCTCCACTTATGGGGCCCTGGAACAGTAACTTGTCTGCCTCTTTTTTGTCCTTCCCACATTTTGAGTCCAAAGAGTTCAGTGCCGACTTTAAGTATGTTTGGATTGAGGAATTTTTATCAGTAATAATGTCTCCCGTTTCTCTTGTAGGTTCTTTCCATTGGTTCTGGTCTATTTCATCGCAGGGTTGTTATTTAATAAAATTCACAAGGGTGTTAACAGCTTTCCTGAAATGATCCCTAATCATTCTTTCTGGGGAGATTTACCATTTTTAGTCAAGGTGAGTCTGTGTGGTGCGGGAAGTCTTTGAAGTAGTTGATATGTTTGCCTTTTGTTGTTTTATTTGTTTAGTTCCTTTTTTCTATGGGATTGCGCGAGCGCGGCGGAACGGGTCTTATGATAACACATGATATTTTACTGTGTAGCTGACATCAAAAAGACGACTTGATCTTCACAGGTTAATTGCAATCAATGTAATTGAAAACGAAGTGTTAAAGATAGTCTGGTATCGACCAGGAATAAACCCTCGCCTTTCAGTTACCGTATAACTGCCACTACTAACCGGGCTTCGAATTCACATGTTGTTAGCGTGGCAAATCTATCGGGATGTTCCTTCCTTATAGGAGAATCTGCCTTATTTCTCTCCACAATGTGCTGTTGACCTGTGAAGATTGATTCGTCGCTTTTTACTCTTTGGTTTTCCTTTTTTCTGTTACAGGATGGCTGTGTTTTCACATTTCAAGGGATAGCTGGCTGTTGCAAACGTGTGTCTATGAAGTTCAAAGGGGACTCTTATGCTGAAATATGATTTTATACGTAATTTCTTTTTTTCTTTTTTTTTTTTAATAATTCTGTGATTGCATTCACAAATATCGTATGACTTACACGCAGTATAATTAAAGCTTCCATGACTGCGGACTTAATGTTTTTTTAACACGTTTTTGTGGTCTCCCTAGAAGGTTAAGTTAAGATTTAGGCAAAAAAGCTGTTAAATGTTTTGTTTTGTTGTTGTTGTTTTCTTAAATAACAGGGCCACTGAGTTCTTACAGTAAAAATAATTTTCTAAAAGCTTTGAATCCATTTTGATTCAGGGATCGGTCATTATTTATTTGCGGGGAGGGGGAAGGGGAGGATTTTGGTTGTGTCGAGGCTCTGTACCCTCATTGGCAGTCAATTCTATGAAGTCATCCCTTTACACTGTGCCATCGACGACTGATCTTCCCACCGTTTCCGTTGAAAGCCATATGACCCCTCCCCCCCCCTTACTTAAAAAAACTGCCTGTCCTCTAACACGATAAATATTGACTGGTCTCTTAGGTAATAGTATTTGTGAACTTTTATTTGGTTTACACCATCTATACTCCGCGCCTGCAATGTCCTTAAATGTTGTTTTACGCGAGTCGTGTTAAGCTTTGCTGATGTGGTCTGCTGGAAAGATTAAGTGAATGATCAGTTTGGTTGAATAGCACATGAATCCTCATGTAGATAAAAGAAAACACACTGGAATAGTCAGAGAGGACTGAAAAATTAAAAAGAACAAAAAGTGACTTTCGTAAATTCAGCGCATTCTACTGAGCAAGCCAGTGAGATAAATTTATTTTACCTTTTGATTAATACATGAAGAATTTTGTATGTTAACGAAAATAGGGTGGCAAATGTCGAGATTTTAAACCAAAATAGCCAGAATGATTGATGCCTTTTCTTAATGTAAGATAATGTTAAGATAATTTTATTTTTTTTCAAATTCTTGATAGAAAGTGTAAGTTCATTATTTCAATAAATTTTGCAATAAAACGAACAAAGGATTTGTGTGGTGGCGTGGTGGTGTTGTGTTCTTATTCCTGATTTAGTTACATTTTCCATTTTATTCGGGTATTTGTAAAAAGAGGGTTTGTATGTCAAATAGCGTGCATAACAGGCCTTTCCGTTTTCTTTTATCCCAGTGATAGAAGGGTGAGGGGAGCGGAGCCGCGCGTGGGTATTAGGCGTAATTAATAATGGTAGTTGAATTGAGTGGAGTGCAATTTGGGTTGAAATCATACACGTGATTTCAAAATCGAACGAGCGCGCAGCGCGAGTTCGATTTGAAATCACAAATATGATTTCAGACCTAAATTGCACGACACGAGGTCCAATTACCACTTTATTACATCCATTTTGAAATTTCCCAAATACAGGACTTGGTCAATTCTAATATTTTACTGATGCAGTACTGAGCCGGTGTTTAAACAATAAGTGGAACCGGAAATGCTTTTAAATCTTATTTTGTATGCAAAACAGAAAGACTGACGTCATGTGTCAAAAACTCAGTCAAGCGTGCGTAAAATGATGCGATTTAGAGCAAAAAATTGTGCGATTCGTGAATAAATCGCACCAATTAGAGCCTGTCAGATTACAGAGACCACCAATGATTTCAAAATGGATGTAATAAAGCGCAAAACTAAAACAAACAAACAAACAAAACTAAAACAAAAGAAAACAAAGCGTGTGCGGGAGTAAAAATGTCGTGCAAACTTGACCGAAGCTTTTTCATACAGTCCCTGGATAGAACGTCAAAATGATGGCGCAGTTAAAAAAAATATTCATGAAAATATGTCAAAATATGCCACACTATGAATGGTTATGGATGGCCGCCATCCTGGAATCCCAAAACCTGATAAACTGTTGGGGAGAAGAGTAGACTTCTACCGAGGGGGTGGTACATAGGGGAATATCAAACATGGCGGCTCGATCGGAAATCTGTCTCTAAGTTATTTTACGCTGTTTAATTAACTAGAACTTCCGAATGAGATTAGACGACAAATACTACAGATTTTTAATGGTGAAAAAGCACAACAACGCTGTAAGGAAACTGCTCGTATGGCTCACCGTTATTACTTACGGTGTAGCGGAAGAATGTGAAAAGTTGGACCAGTGTTCGTGCAAGAAAGGAAATGGGAAAATCATCAGTTTATGGGACATCGATGGAGGTTCCAAAGAACCAGCGTGAGTAATACAAGTCCTCCATCACAATCAGATATTTTGAAAAAAACAGTACACAATTAGTCGAGCCATGAGCGCGTAAATATCTAACTGCACGTGAAATGCCACTGTTCGCTTATTTGTAGATTATTTTGTGGTCAGAGTGAAATCGAGTTGGCGATTAGCAAAGCGAAGTTTGAGTTTGCTATGATGACCATGATGGAAAGCAATGCAGAAAAGTAAACATGCTGATGGTTTTTTCTGCGCCATCATATGTCACGCAATCCGCAAGGGGATGACTGTTGTCACGCTGAACCTATTTTTCATCCGAACAGAAAGATCGGTTTCAGGGCTGGATGTATAATTTTGAGTCTGGCAATAAGACTGGGCTTCAGATGAGTCTGCGGGAAATTCATGAGACTGGGAAATAAAAAAAAGAAAAGGTGTATAGGGAAGGAGGGAAGGGGTTTCATTTTGGTTTTATCAACACAGGTGATAATTATGTAAATTGGTCACTGTAAAGAGTTTCAACGCTGATATTTTGAGAGTTAGCCCTTCATCAGAGCAAATTGTGAAAGTGCTAATGCTCGAAACACCAGCTTTGAAACTCTTTATGGTTCATGATGGCCAATTTACATTATCAACACAGTTGATAAACCAGAATTACCTTGTTTTACTCCCCCATCAATGCAGCATCACAGTTTCTCCAGAAACTTCCTCCATTTATTTTCATTTGAATTTATAGTTAGCACATGTGGTGTAATCACTACACCCTAATGAAATTGCATGCTTTTTAACCAATTTTGTTATTTTCAGTTGATAATTAGTGGTCATGCACCCAACTGTTTGCTTAACTATCTCCAATCCTAGTCACAATTGTTGAAAAATTTCCCCTTCCCCTTCAAAGTTGGTTTAAAGAAAAATTGAATTGCCTACAAAAAACTTGTCATTTGGAAAGGAGCAGGGTGACCAAGCTAGGTGGCTAAAGAAACTGGCAAATTTTTTTCTCCTTTCCAGCTTCAAAGGCCTTCTAGCTCTGTATCCTCCAGGTTCATCATACAAATTTGACTGGAATCCTTGCACAAAGTTTAGTGAGGGAACTGGATGCTCAAACGTATTTGTAAGTACATTTGAGAAGACAGTAAGGGCCTGGAGTAAGGGACTGGTTATTATTTATCT